AGCCGTGCGCGCCTCCGGCAGTCCTGCGGCCGAGGCCGATGGAAACCTCCAGAAGGACACCGTGCGGTTGGCCCCCCGCGGGCCCCGTCCCAGACCCCGGGGAAGCGGCCTGGGCCGCGGGGCCGCCCGCCGTCGCGGCCGCTCTCGTCCCGACCCCGATGGACCCGGCTGGGTGTGAGTGGGAAGGGGGACCCGCGCGAAGGGGGTGTGGTGCCGTCGGCAGTTCCGGGTGTCGGGCCGAACCCTTGCCCCGGGGGGAGCTGCTGTCAAGTTAGGGAACTAGAATATTCTAGAGCGATGCCCCTCCTCCTCCTCGCGTGGCGACAGAGAAGCGTGTCCAAGAACCGCTTTTGCAGAATCGTAAACCCCGACGCCATCGTTGGGTGGGACACTGGTGCCTTCCGAGCTAGGAAGCGGTCAGGTTCCATCCATCCCTAAGAAGAGAGCCTTTTTACATTCGGTTCTTAGAACCCAGCCTGGGAAGTTTTGCTAGGTGGCAGCATAGGCTCGAAAATGGCTAAGTGACCGATCACACCGAACATTTGTTACCCCTCAGAAAGGAACGCAATCCCATAGTAAGTTAACGTGGGAATGGCAAGACTAGCATTCTTCATAAAATTATAATTAATGTTGTGAGCTGTAAAGTACTTCGTCCATGGAAAACTTACACAAATAGCTTTGTCATCCACTTCTTACATTTAGCAATTACCAGTCTTTTGCCGTATAATATTTAATCCCGTCCTTTTACTTTCCTATCTCAGCCCTACTACTCTTTTAGTGTACATTTTTCTCATCTGTACATTCCATAACTTTATAACATGCCTATAGAGTACAGTATTGTATATTTTAAATTTTGTAGATAGGATATCTTATCAACATGGCATCCTTACTCTGTACATCAAACAGGATTGTTAATGTTTCATAATATATACAGGTGTTCTGCATTTATTTCAAATACTGCATTGTGTGCATCGTATGTATTAGGAAACATTATGTAAGAATGCTAAAATGGAAAGTTTGTGCATCAGCTTTTCTACTGCCTAAAGTGTGTCTTCTAGATAGATCCTTAGTAATTTTGTTAGATGTTGCCAAATTTTCCTTTAGAAGAGGTCCAAAATTTACATTTCAGTGAAATTGCGGAGGGAGTGCTTGTTTCTGCGCAGTCTCGTGGGCAGAGTGCCTTTTCCAACAACAAGTTTTCCTACAGGTTAGTCTAAATTCATGGCAAAGTCAGTACATCTCCAGTAGAAGCTAGTCAGCTGGCTAAAAGAGTGCCAGCCAGCCAAACTCTGCTACCAGCATCCTATGACGGAAACTCATTATCGACACTCCAAAAGCACAACTTACTCTCTCAAAAGCAGATTCACATTAGTAACAAATTTATCTTCTGTGGCTATTAATGTTCCTGTGAAACATTGTTCCTATCTACTGCTCATTATCAATTGGAGTGCAGAACTACCAAAAGGGATTGTACTTGATGATTCAGTGTTGGCTATAAGATATCTATCCTCATTGGATTTCTGAGTGGCTGAACTATAAGCTCTTTTTTTTTAACTTGTACTGCATTCTGCCAACATTTGCTTATTGTGGTTCCCATTTTTATATTTGAGTGAACTTTCTTTAATTGGCTCACATGGTTCTTTCCTTACACACATGTTAACTTTTCACATTATTTATGATTGTATTTTTGTATTTACCCAAGAAATGATCCAGCTTCCCCTGACTACTGATTTTACCAGATTAAGAGTATCTGTCTGCCTAAAGTCTAGGTGCACCTCACTGTCAGCTCTTGTACCATCAATCGTGAACTCAAAATCTTTTTCTTCTGAATGTCCTAAGTACATTCTTTTGCTGCTTAGAATCTGTCAACTAGATTTATCCATCTTAATCATGTTGGCAACCTACATCTACCTCTTTCAATTCTTCTTCACTTTTTCTTCTATTTTCTCTCATTTTTTACTTCTCTCTTAGTTTATTTCATTTCCATTATCTCTCCTTTCTCATTTTCCTCACTTTATTTCTCCTTTCTCTTCCAAGTAATGTCACTCTTTACAATTCTAAAAATGATAGTTTTGTTTGCTTATGGTTAGAGAAATTGCCTTTAAGTACTGCTTTTGCCTCCTAGAATTAGGGGATGGTTTAGGCCTATCTGTGGACCTGTGATTACCTGTGAGTTTTCATTCAACCCACTTTATAATTCTTTTGACAAATAAATTGAAAACCTTTAAAGGCCTAACTGAAAGACTACTATTCATCAGTTTTGGAAATTTAAAGACAGGTGTTTGGAATGGGCAATTGTGAGGAAAATTAAATTGTAATTCCATTTGTCTTTCTCAGTATTTATTGAGAAAGTTAAGCTAGAAAAGCATTTTTTGGTTTGGTATTGGAATGAAACTATGTTTATGAAACATTACCTTTGCTTTGAGTTTTCTTTCCCACTAATGATGAACAATACTTGTTAAATTGAAGTTGTAAATTTGGATACTTCTTTCCCCATGGGAGTGTAACTGAATGTCAACTCTGCCCACTGCAGTTTATTATTAGCTGTTTGGTTCAGCTAGTTAGGTATGCTACTATCGCATGCACCTGCAGAGTTCAACCATTAGAAACATTAATATATTTCAATGCATAATTTAACATTTAGCAGTTTATAAGTAGCTTAACTTTACATTGTGTATCACAAAACTTTTATTACAATTCTGCTTGGGAAATGAGGCAATTCCTTTTTTTCCCACTTAAACCTTGTCTAAAATGTTTTACATTTATCCATAGTATAATTCCTTTTTACCTTAAATAGTTCTGTGTGAAACACGAATTCCAAAGATAATGTGTCTAGGAGAAAAATATTGCACTGTGTGCTTTTTATATGCTGTGTAGTTTATAATAGTAAATGAACAAACGAGTACCACTACCTTCTGCTCATTTATTTAACAAGTACCCGTCAACCTATACTGTATGCCGTGCACTACTTTAGGTGCTAGTGTTAAGTAAATTCAGATACTTGAGTTTCAGGATCTTCTGTCTGGGGGCAGGGGGGGTGTAAAAGACACACTAAACAAATTAAAAATGAAATGTTAATGGTTGTGATCATTTCTAGAGGACTAACTCCTTTTTTAAATTGTTATACTAGGGAATTGATGACTTTTAGAAATGCTAGAAAAGATTTAGAATCTTTTCTAAGAGTCTAAGAATTAGCCAACGAGGCTGATGAGGTGCCAACAAACTAATATGAGAAGACAGAACTCTTCTGAGGGAGGGGGAGGTAAAGACTTGTGATAGATGTGTGTTAAGGAAAAGGAACTAAAAAGGCCCATGACCATTTTAAGAGTGAGTAGGAGCTGCAAAAGAACATTGACGGGGCTACGTTACGCCCAGAAATTTTCTTCTGACAACATTTAAAAGTGATAGAATGAGGCAAGAATTGGTGTAAAGAAACCAGTAAACTGTTCTGGGGCTCATGCCTTTAATTCTAGTTACTCCAGAGTCTGAGATCTGAGAATCATGATTGAAAGGCAGCCCAGATAGAAAAGTCCAAGAGACTCTCCTTCTAATTATCCATCCGTAAAGCTGCACTGGAAATGTAGCTCAATAATAGAGCCCCAGCAATGTGTGAGAAAGCTGAGAGCCAAAAAAGAAAAAGAAGGCAAGGAGGGAGTGAGAGAGAGAACCAGTTAACAGCTGGAGTTGCTGAAAGGCAAGTGGGTAAAGATATCTATATGGAGCCTAGGCTTTTGATTAAATGGGTTTTTATTCTCTAGAGTATGAAAAATGCCAAAAATGATTGAAAGTTTCCTTCCTTTTTTTGGAAATGATGCTGGTGTGTCTAGTATCACTGGGAAACCAATGCAGTGAAGGAAAGGGCTATCTGGGACAGTGAAAAAAGGAGAGATTGCTCAAATGGACTTGTAAGTTATCCAGAATGATGGGGAAACACAGGATGGAAAGAAATTAAAAGCTGCTTGTCGGTGCCTTCATTGAAAACAGGAGATCCGTTGAGATTAATGAAGAATAATGAAGACACAGGGTGATACCAACAGTGTGTTGTTCAGAAGCATGTGAGGATTCTTTATCAGGCACTCTTGCAGGGCATGGAAAATGCTAATATTGAATAGGATGTCTATTGACCTGTAGCAGCTCAGAGTGTATAAAAAAGGACAGTTGCATCTGCAGTCAGTGGCACTGGAGCAAGATAGATGTTTTTATAACAGTCCCTGCATCTGAGGTGAGGGCCCACAAAAAAAGAGTATGGTCCCTCTGGCTGAGGGACAAATGATAAGATACATGATGGACAAAACTTAAGCTTGGGAGTAACATGCCCTTGTACTGAATGCTGGACTGTTATAACATGTGGTTGTTTATAACTAGAGTATTTCCATGTCTTGGCCTATTCTGTTCTTCATCCTTAGGATTTGGCAGTGTTCTCTAGAGGGATGATTTAGCATGTATAGCAGTGTGTGCTCATATGTAGTGCCTCTGTGGGTTTTTTTTTTAATTATGCTTGAAACAGTTAAGTGCTAAAAATAAGAGGGAGGGATGCTTTATAATTGAATTAAATCTCTTCCATACTTTTGTTAATTCAAACACTCATTTAATAAATTACCACTTACAAATACAAAGATGATTAATAGGATACTCTCTTATCTCAGGGAATTCATATTTTGTAACATTCCAAGTTTATTATATCCATCAAGATCTAAGAATGGTATTAAAATATTAGTTGCTGGAAATGCTGTTTTTATTTTTAAATTATAACTTCTTTCTCTTCAGCCTTCCAGAGTATTTTTAGACTGTTTTTATTCCTTTGCCATTTATGGAAAAAGTTTGGTTTAATCAAACCATGAATAAAAATAAGAACTTAATTAAAGTGGTAGACTTCATGTAACATTAGGAGTCAAAATAATGTCTGTCTCTTTCTGAGCTAATTGGCTTGAATTTTGTTTTTATTCCTCAAAGGTTGTGAAGATGAGAAAAGAAGTGAAGCGAATCCGAGTCTTGGTTATCCGAAAACTTGTGCGCAGCGTGAACAGATTGAAAGCAAAAAAGTTAGTCATTTGAAATGATGCTCCTGAAACAAGTAAAATGTCAACTTTGTTTTGATTTAGTACTTAGAGAGTTGGAGGGTGGGGTCTAAAGACTCACACATCCTCTTCTTCCTCATTCTTCACTCTGCTTGCCTGGTGATCTGAGCCACATAGAATGTGCCCTGTCAGCATGGCCTTCTATGGTTTGGGGACATATTTGCTTAAAACGCTGTTTGAAATGTCTCCTTTTCTCTTCAGGATGAAATTGCCATGGGATTATTTATGGTTTTTTTTATTAGAAGTTATTCTGAAATGAATATATCTAGTAAAATGACTGTAATGACTTTTATCACCTTTTTTGTGAATTATTGAGAAATTTGAAGTCTCAGGAGCTTGTGGGTTTATTATGTTACTGTGTGCCATGTCACTATGAAAAACAGATTATATTTTCAACATTAGTATTATTGTTTAAGCATGAACATTTAGAAAGCCTTCAAAATGCGTTTGTTCCTGGTTTCTTCTTTGTAAAAATAATCCTGCTTTCTGTCCTAGACAGATAGTTAACAATCCTTATGCTTTTTTTTTTTACAATTCCAAGTCTCAATTTTTTGTTTAATAAAAATATACCTAACTTGTAGCTTGTAACACATTAAATTAAAAGTTCTTTTGATCAGACATGTTATCTTAGTATTTAGGACTAGGGAGGGCAAACATTAATCAGGAATAGTACAATAGGATGATGTGTAAGTTGTCAGTCTATAACTTGTTAGTGTTTATTGGGGTGGAGTGAGAAAGGGGTAGTACATGATGGAGTGCTTTTCACTTAATGCTTTTTTTGTGTGAAAATACTGTACAGAGGTGTTACAATTACATGGGCAAGATAATGAGTACGTTTCTTATCAAGCATTGTAGCTTTCTCCTAATGCTTTTACTTTTATCATATTGCTTTAAAATTATTGCTGGGGCTGGGAAGGTGGCTCAGTGGTAGAGTGCTTGCCTTGCATGCATGAGGCCCTGGGTTCGATTCCTCAGCACCACATAATCAAAAAGAAAAAAGCCGGAAGTAGCGCTGTGGCTCAAGTGGTAGAGTAGAGCACTAGCCTTGAGCTGAAGAGCTGAGGGACAGTGCCCAGGTCCAGAGTTCAGGCCCCACAACTGGACCCCCAAAAAAAATTATTGCTTAAATATATTCCATTGTATATATGTATTTTGCAGGGGAACTGAAGATGCACTGTTAAAAAACCAAAGACGGGTTCAAAGATTGCTTGAAGAAATCCATGCGATGAAGGTGAGCCTGTGAGGATGTGTATGCTTGTGTATTTGTGTGTATTTTGGTGTCTCCTGTCAGCCTGAACTCTGTGTTGTATGGTACTTGTTTGAACATTCCTGAGAGTTTCTCAAGGCTTATTTGTGGGTCTTATTTATTGGTGAAGAATGCAGCATATTTAAAAACCTGTAATATGCTTAGGCTTGTTTTTCTTAAAACTGACTTTATTGAAGTGCTAGACTAATTTTGAGTCAAAACTGCCAAGCCAAACTCTTCGATGTTTAATAATACCTCATGCTTGCAGTTTTTATTTTACTGTAACTTTGGGCATACAGCCTAAATTAAGCTCAGGAATTATTTGAGAATGTGTATGATGGCATTGGTGGCTGACATCATGCTTTGCCTAATGCCAACTCAATAAATTGTTATGTGATAGGGTCAAAATTTTATTCAGTTCTGTAGTAACTTAAAGTTAGGATTGGACCAACATGGTCTATATGCTTCTTTTTCAACTAGACTCTTTCCTAGCATAACTTTTAGCTCTTCTCATTGCTCTTACTTGGTAGAAACTTTCATTTACTAAATGACATACCATTAAATGTCTGGAAGACAGCTTTATTGCACAACTTTAAAACAATTGGTACCAGCAATTATTGCAATTACAGGGTAATTTTATGTGTATGTTTGGCTATTATAATTTTGGCATAACTGCTGACTTTTGAGTTAAATTAAAAAGTAAGGAAATTCTCGAACAGTATTTTAATTGAGTTGTATCACAGTTTCTCGTGTGTGTGTGTGTGTGTGCGTGTGTGTACGTGTGTGTACGTGTACACGTCCGTGCATGCATATGTATGAGTGCGCACGCACATCAGGCCTGGATTTGAATTCAGGCCTAAACACTGTCTCTGAGCCTTTTTGCTCAAGACTAGCACTCTTTCAGCTTTTTGGTAGTTAATTGTTTTTTGTTTTGTCTTTTGCCAGTCCTGGGGCTTGAACTCAGGACCTGAGCACTGTCACTAAGCTTCTTTGGGTCACAGCATCAGTCTGGATTTTTTAAAATAGTTTATTGGAGATAAGAGTCTCATGGAGATTTTTCTGTCCCAGCTGGCTTCAAACTGTGATACTCATATCTCAGCCTTCTGAGTAGCTAGGATTATAGCCCTAAGCCACCGGCACCCATTTTGGTGGTTAATTGGAGATGAACTTTTCTGACTGGGTTGGCTTCAATCCACAGTCCTCAGATCTCAGCCTTTTGAGTAGCTAGGATTACAGGCATGGGCCATTGGTGCCTGTCACACTTAAAAGGATGGTTGAAGTATGGAACAGGATAAAGCTTTCTCAATTAATTTGAATAAAAACAGGTATAGGAAATGATTCTTTGATAAGAACTATGTATTCTTATATTTGTCCCTCTCTACTTATAGGACGGTAAAATTTATGGAATCCATGATATTTGATCTCCTTTCATTTTCAAGAGTTGTTACCCTCTTTTGTTCATACATTCAGAAAAAAAGAAATGCTCTGTATTTGACAGCTAAATATTATTAGTGTTGCTTTCATTTGCAGAACATTGAGCTTTCTTGCAAACCTTCCAATTCATGGTGTACTATGAGACAGAAATTTTGCCCGCCACCAGTGGCTAATGCCTATAATCCTAACTATTCAGGAGGCTCAGATCTGAGGATCACGGTTCAAAGCCAGCCCGGGCAGGAAAGTCCATGAGACTCTTATCTCCCCTCGAAAGTGGCGCTGTGGCTCAAGCGGAATCCCACAGTTCAAGCCCCACAACGGCCAAAAAAAAAAGAAAGAAATCTTTGCTAGGTGCTGGTGTCTCATGCCTGTAATTCTAGCTACTCAGGAGGCTGAGATCTGAGGATCATGGTTCAAAATCAGCCCAGGCAGAAAACTGAAAGTGGAAGTGTGGGTCAAGCAGTAGAGCGCTTGCCTTGACCTGAAGAGCTGAGGGTCAGTGCCCAGGCCCAGAGTTTAAGCCCCACAGCCAACCAAAAAAAAAAGAAAGAAATCGGGGGCTGGGAAGGTGGCTCAGTGGTAGAGCGCTTGCCTTGCATGCATGAGGCCCTGGGTTTGATTCCTCAGTACCACATAAGCAAAAAGAAAAAAAGCTGGAAGTGGCGCTGTGGCTCAAGTGGTAGAGCGCTAGCCTTGAGCTGAAGAGCTGAGGGACAGCACCCAGGCCCAGAGTTCAGGCCCCATGACCGGACCCTAAATAAATAAATAGAAATCTTTGGAAAGTTGTACTTTGAGGATAGCACCAAAAGGAAGTTATGATTTATCTCTTTCACATTCTCAATATCGAAGTTCTTGTCAAAGTACATGGTCTCTTAAATTTTTCTCTAACTTCTTCTGAAGTTAGAGAAATGTAGTAGTCCTACATTATTCATAGGCTCTGAGCCACTATATACAATTGCTGCTTTTATAAGCTTATATGCAATGTTTGAAAAGTTTGAGAATAAAAGAAACTTAGTCTGTTTAATACTTCTGTTTTGTTTTGCTCAATAAAAATACTTCTGTTTTATCTGTGATCAAGCTTATACATTCAGAAGGTTTCTGTGTATGTCAGTATCACAGTCTGGGTTTTTGTTTTCTCATAATTATATAAAACCAATGTGGATGGAATTGTGGCCTTGTAGAGACCAGAATAGAGAGCATATTCTGGGCTCACTAGTCTGACATTCTTTTCTTTTATAATGCCGTTTAAGCACTAAATTTCAAAAAGACTATATGTTTCTTCTTTTTTTGGCACATAAATTTCATTTATTGAAAGTAATGTTTGCGTTTCAAATCTTATTTCTCACTTAGATGCTGTATTGGTGTTTGTGTAGGGGGACACATGCATGTGTACCAGAACTAGGGCTTGATCAGAGCCTCGTACTCTTGCTTAGCCTTTTTCACTCAAGACTGAGCTGCACCTTCACTTCCAACTAAGAGTTTGACAGATTTGTCTGCTTTGCTGGCTTTAGACCTCTTTCCTCAGATCTCAGCCTCCTGCGCAACTAGGATTGTAGGCATAAGCCACTGGTGCCCAGCCATTTATGAGAAGCAAATACATGTAACGTTTTTCGTAGTTAAAAGGCCATTTGTAATTTTGGAGGAAGGTATTTTTCATGTATATGGGAGTATAAAGAAATAGTGCCAAAACTGTAGACTTAAAAGTCTTAATTAAATTTGGAGGAAAACCTCTGCTTACTCATTTCTTGAAGTGAAAAAAAAAATTTGGCTCATATACCACTACCCATGACATACTGTCCTGTACTCGTTCCCTATGATAATAGGGTATTTTGTTGCCAGATGACATCTTCTTGAAGAAAACCCATGATATTTTTGGAAATGTGAGTTGATTTTTCTAGCCACGATTAAAAATGGTCTGATCTTTATAATACTATAAAATCATAGGTTCTAATTTTATAGGCTATAATGTGTAAATTCCAAGCCTTTGGTACATTTTCAAAAAGTGTTTATACTTTGAATTTTTATATTAATGTGACTTGCTAAGAATCCCCTTTCCTTTGGGAGTTAAAATACCTTATCACCCCACTAGGATCCCTAAGTTTACTTAGCTGGAGACAAAATTAAAGTAATACACTTGTATTACTCAAAATGTGGAAGAAACCCCTTTGAGAATGATAACCGCAGTGACTGTGTGTTTCTGAGCATTGACTATGTTCCTGGTACAAGTCCCGCTTTGTAGTGCAGCCTGGCCTCCCGTATGCTGGCACTGTACCCTGCTACAGTTTGGGGTGTTTTGTTTTTGTTGCTCGTAGTGTTATATCAGGAACCCGAGACTTGAAAGTTTCTTCATTTTTACAGTCACCTTAGCCAGTGCCCTGTGACTGTGCAGCTCTAAGGCAGAAGTTTCCTTGTTTCCTTGCTTAATAGCCCTCTGTACTCTGGTAACATGTGAAAGGATAACCAATCAGTCTTAAGGGTCCTTTAAGAGATTAGTGTATGCTGCTTTTCTCGCTCACTCAACAACTTTTTTTTAATATATTTTTATTGTGAAAATACTGTACAGAGGGGTTACAATTACATGGGTAAGATAATGAGCACATTTCTTATCAAGCATTGTAGCCTCCTGCTTTGTTTCCCCTTCCCATCCCTTCGTATCCGCCCCCTCCATCCCCCTCCATCCCCCCCACCAAAGTTGTAAAGTTCATTTTTCGACATAACGACTTGTACATCTCATTGTTGCAATGTGTCCTCCTGTATCCCTGTTTTAACAATTTGTTTTTTCCCTTCCCCTCCACATATACCAATATCATATATAGTGAAAGCAGGGGTTGTACCATGGGGGAGGGACATACAAGGCAACAAAGACATAATCTTATAAGTATGTTAGAAACCATCGCATGAAAGATCTCTCTCTCTTTTTTTTTGTTAGTCGTGGGGTTTGAGCTCTAGGCCTGGGAGCTGTCCCTGAACAATTCAGCTCAAGGCTCATGCTCAACCACTTGAGCCATCGCGCCACTTCTAGTTTTCTGGTTTGTTTTTTTTTTATTGTGATTAAGTGATTACATATTTTCCCAAATTTCACAGTATTGTGGAATAATGATGCTCATTTAAAGTCACACGCTCATTCTAACTTTCCTGGAGCAAATTGTCTATCACGGTCTATAACGGTGTACACATATACACCATACATGTGATCAGCAG